TCTAGGGAGAGGAAACATAAGTGCAAAGGCCCTGCGGCAGAAAGGCCCTGGGGAGTTGAGCCTGACCCTCCCTGTTCCTGTGAAGCTATTTTTACTTAGGCCCTAGTTTCTGTGGTCACTCCTCCAACTTTAGGCCTAGGGTCTTTCTGGTTGTGGGGAACTGACTGACCCCAGGCACAACCTTCCAGGCTGTGTGAGGCCCTGGAAGAGATTTCCAGGAATAGGCCCTGGGGAAGGTCTCTGCAGTTCAACTTCCTAAGACAGGGTTTTGCCAAGTTTGTAAGAAATGCACATTCCTGAACCATGCTCCTCCTCATTTGCCTGCTCAGAATCTGTGATCGGGTCTGTGCCTGGGAATCTGCATTTCTAAAAGCCTCTAGGCATGTTTGAGCATCTTCACTATGTCCATTTCCACGTGTTCTCTCCTAGATCTTGTTCTAATTGCCTAGGATAGAGTCTGCCACATTCCATCTTTCTTAAATGTTTTTTGAGTTTTTCAGAGGCACCTTGCCGGCCATTTCCTGCCAGGGAAGGGAAGCATTCTCCAGGTAGGCAGATTCGGCTGGGCTGTTCTGCTCCCAGGCAGAAGGTGACATGGGGGTGGTGGGAGATCTTTGGGATTTGCATGTTTTCTCCACAGAGCCCCTCCCCGAGTCCTGCGCCCATGGTGGGGGTTTCAAGGACAGTGACCGATGCAGGTCAACTCTGGGGACTCAGGAGATGTTTGTAGAGATAAAGAACAAATGGCCGAAAAAACGTCGGTTTTGACAGGGAAGGACAGGAATCGTAGTGCGGTTGGCGGTTTGGAAGTATCCTTTCCCCAGCACATGGAAAAAAATCCTCATTCTTTCAAAATTGTTCCTTCCACCCCATCCGTCTCCCATCCCCGTGCCCACCCCCACCCCCAGAAGTGGTAATCCCCCCCCCCCCAGCTTACTCTATTTTCTGCAACAGAGAGGAGTAGAGATTCGGGTGGGGCAGGGGGTTCTAACCTCTAAGCTTTATCGCTTCTTGGCCTTTTGGCTAAGATCAAGTCTAACCTCTAAGCTTCTCCTGGTTCAGCTCCATCACCCTGCCACCCCGCCTCCACGCACCCAGCCTAGAGCAGAGAGTAGGAAGAAGGACTCTCGAGTCTGCTCCTTCCTCGCTGGAAAACCGCGGGCTATTTCTGTGACCTCTGAGCCTCCGTTTCCCCATCTGTGAAACGGGCCCGGGGATCCCTAGCGGCAGACCCCGGGATACTTCCAGGCGCTGCCGCAGGCTGTGATCCTCGAGGGCGTGCCCGGCACACCGCCCCTCGCCCGCCCCCCGCCCCCCGGCGCCGCGCCGCGCAGGCCACGCCCCTCACCGGCCCGGCGGCGTTGCCATGGCAACGCGCGTACACAGGCCGGGCGGGCGCGCGAGGTGCAGGCGGCCGGCTGGAGACTCCGCGGGAGCGCGGCCAGGCGGCCTCGCCCGGGAGCGGGCCGGGCTCCTCCCGAGCCCGCCGGCCTCTCGGCGGGGGACAGAGCGTGGGCTTCTGCCTCCGGCCAGGTGAGTGCGGCACGGGAGGAGGCAGCGGGCGGAGACCTGGGGCCGGACCCGGTCGGCTCTGCGAGGTCAAGAGCTCGGAGGCGAGGTGCGGGACGCAGCCCCACCCCCAGCTGGAACTCCTCTCCGATCCAGGCTCCGGTCCCCAGGAGCACCTAAAGGAGGTGCTCCAACACCAGCCCGTCCTCCCTGAAATGCAGGCCCCCAACCCGCTTCCAGAAGTAGCCTGCGCGGGAGCTTCCGGACCCTCCTTGGCACCTGCTAAGCATACTGCTCTTAGATATCCAGCGGGGTACAACTGGGATTAGGGAGGGGTGCCTTCTGGTTCCCCTGATTTAGGGACAACACCCACCCAATGGCCAGAGATTCCCTTACCTGACCTTCCCTTCTTTGAGGAACTTTTACAGCTCCCAGGCCACTGAAGACCTGTAGCCCTGAAAAGACATACTGCTTCTCTAGCCCAATTCTGAGCCATTCCAAGTGGTCAGGGGGTATGCAGGTGATTTGCTCTTTACTATGCTTGGTACTTCACAGCACTAAGAGCGAATTTCCAGAATTTAGCACATTCAAATTACTTTCTACAGTGTTTTCAGGCAGGGGAGTGACTGCACAGGGCAAGATTAAGATGGAGAGATAGTGTCCAACCCAAAAGCTCCAGGTAGAATTTAGGGTTTCCAAAAAGGATATCTAGGGTAGACACCGGGTGGGAAGATTCCTAGCCAGCTGGCCGCACAGATTTGCTTTGACATGTCATTTACATTTTCATTCATTCAGCAAATGTTTACTGAGCATCTACTATGTGTCAGACAGGGCTGCAGGTGCTGGAGACGGGGTAATGAACAAAACTGTGAGGAACTGCAAAGGGTCTGAGCTTTTACCTTGCTTGCAACCTAATAAGTTAGCCTGGCCAGCTTATAGATGCTGGCAGAAGACACAGGACAAAATTTGTCAATGCCTTTGCTCCATAATGGGTACAAATACAAGGTACCCATGAAGAATTGTCTCTTAGCAGAAACAATACAGTTCTGGCTCTCCGGGAAGGAACATATATCTCAGTGAAAGGAAAATAAACGGCAAACACAACTAAATAAAGGAACCAGAAAATGTCAGAGGTTGATAAGCACAAAGAAGGCAGCACAGCAGGTGGTATATGCCAATAGTGACTGAAGGGTGCCTTTAGCTAGGGTGGTCAGGTGGTTGCCATACAGGGGGGACCCCTGAGCAGAGAGAAGACACCAGCCTTGGGAACATCTAGGGGGGAGAGCTAAAAATCAAGCATGCACACGATCCAGGTTCTGGGGTTTAATTTAGTAGCATTTCCTGTGGTTTTCCTGCAGAAGAGACTTTTCTCCCGAGTTTGCATTCCAGATTAATTAGGCTTGAATGTGTTGCTTGATAACATGGTCCTCTGCCATTGAAGTGAATAACTGAAGTGATTTGACAGCTAACAGAGCACCGTTCTTTGGGAAGAGGAAATGTCTCTCCCTTTCTGTGAATGACATTGAACTTAATAAAATGTATTTCTCATTACAGGAAAACATATTTGTGAGGCGTAGCTCTCAGAGTTTACAAATATAAAATAAACTATCTAGCTATTTTTATTTCTCTTACCCCCAGGTTGGGTCTCTTCTTCCTTTCAGAGGATGGAATCTGGGTGTCAAGGACTTTCTGACATGTCCCAGTTGTCAAGAGACAGTGCAACTCCCCCCACCCCTCTCTGTCCCACCCAGCAGCAGTGGACATTTGGGAAATTGAGCTGCCGGCCGATTGTTACATGCAAAGGCTTAGAGCTGTCTCCCTGACACTTGGTGCTGTGTGTCCTTAACCTCTCTGAGTCTCAGTTTCCCCATCTGTAAAGTGGGACAGTACTAATACCTACCTCACAGGGCTGTTCCGAGGAGGAAAAGAGACAGTGTGTATAAAAGAACAGCACAGTGCCTCGCACTTAGGAGGGATTCAGTCATTGATGATGGAGATGTGGATGAAAAGCAGAACCAGACCCGAGACCCTCAATGATCACAACTAGATGGTCTTTGTTTTTATCCACAGTCCAATAGCATCGCATTTCAGTGACCTTTTAGTTGAAAAGAAAAGAGAGGGACTTCGGCTCTTGGACACGGCACTGAGATGGAGGATGTCCCACTGTGTAACTGGACATACCTCAAATCAGAATTCAAGCGTCATATGAATTATCGACATTTTGGAACCTACTGAAGTCACTGAGATTTTTATATTTTAAAAAACCAGTATAGAACTTACTTTGGAATGCATCAAACTACAAAATGGATGGATGCATGGCTAGATGGAGGGTTGTGTGGTACAGCAAATAAAGCAAAATGTCAATTGTAGGATCTAGGTGGTGGCTATAAAGGAATTCACCTGAGTATCTGATATTTTCATAAAAAAATGTTGGGGGAAAATATGTACAGAGTCTTGGTCATATGTTCAAGCTAGAGTCTTGAGAGTTTGCCTTTCGAAGTTACCCTTTTCCCCCTAATTTATGAAGAAACGGAGTGATTTACAAAGAAAGTGTCTTTTAAAGCCCATTCCCTCAATGACTAACAATGCAGTTTCAGAAGCTCTATAGAAGGCTAAACTTCCTTGGGTTCAAGTTCGATAAGCCCAAGATTCATAATAATAATAATAATAATAATAATAGGACAAATGTGTGGTTAGTGCATAGCGGTCACCACCCCAAAAGCTTCACACACATGATTGCATTTCATCCTCACAGAACCCTTTGGGGTACAGAGTATTAACTCCATTTTACAGATGAGAAAAATGAGGCATAGAGAAAGAAGTAACTCACCCAAAGTCACAGAGCTAGTGTGTGGTGGGTTAAGGATATGGGACAGAATACCTCCTGTGTCAGATAACTAACATCGTACTGAGCTTCATGGGAGGTGGACAGAGATTATCAGCGGAATTCAGGTTTGTCGTTGGGGTGTTTCTGCTTTTGGTGGTTTGGGTACTGAGTTATGTAAAAAACGTCTTCTGTTTGATGATCAGAACCAAGCTCATCTTTGCTAGATGTCACTGCTTAAAAAGATAGTCTTAAAAATCTGCAGAAATTGTGCTCAAACTGTAAAGTCCACTTATCCTCTCCAACCTCTGCTGATTTCTCCTTTATTTTTTTTTTAAAGATTTTATTTATTTATTCATGAGAGACAGAGAGAGAGAGAGAGAGAGGCAGAGGGAGAAGCAGGCTCCCAAGGAGTAGGGAGCCCAATGTGGGACTCGATCCCAGGACCCTGGGATCATGACCTGAGCCGAAGCATTTCCCTAATAGCTAGTGATGTTAGACATCAGACGCTTAACCATCTGAGCCACCCAGGCGCCCTGATTTCTCCTTTAACATGACGGTGCATTTCATCCATTCTAAATGTGATGTTGAATAATCAGAAGATTGCGTGTTCCTAATAATGTTTTTTTTTTCTTTCTGAAAACCTTCTATAGGGAAAGCAGAGAGTATGAAAGCCTACCTAAAGAGCGCAGAAGGCTTTTTTGTCCTGAATAAAAGTACTACTGTTGGAAGGCATGAAGACTCAGACCTTGTTTTAGAGGTAAGAACTGTTCCTGCCCTCTCCCAGCATCTCACCCCCTCCACATGTCCCTGCTGTTTTGTGGACTCGAGTCTCTTTTAAAGCACACGCTCTAGCTAACAGCCACATCCTCCCTCCATGTGCGACCCATAACTACCTGCGGAATGTACTGGGTCTCCTCAGCATGTGTAGTGAAAATGAGTGTGAGATAGAGTGTGATGTGCCCTCTGCCCTTTGCTGACCATGTGTACGGATGGCCCACCCATTGTCCCCTCCCCGCAGACAAATGGGGCCGTTTGGAAGGGGGCATGGAGCTCATGCTTTGCCCTTCACCTGCTCTGAGCCTGACAGCGAGGGCCACCTGAAGTACTCAGCTTGAGCAATGGCCTCTCGCCTTTTCCAGAGCTTTTGGAGACTATTGTGATGTGTATAACATTTTGAGAATGTTATATAAATGGAATTATACCACGTGTGACCTTTTGAGATTGTTTTTTTCTCACTCAGCATAATGTCCTTGAGATCCATTTAGGTTGTTCGCCTGTTCCTTTTTATTGGGAGTAATATTTCCATGGTGTAGATGTACCATTGTTTGTTTAACCATTCATATATTAAAGGACATTTTTGATTGTTTCTAATCTGGGGTTGTTACAGATAAATCTATTTATGAACATTTGTGCACAGGTATTTGTGTGAAAGCAAGTTTTTATTTCTCTGGGATAAATGCTCAGGAGTGTGATTGCTGGGTCAGATGGGAAGTGTATGGTTTCTAAAGAAACTGCTAGACTGTTGTCCAGGGTGGCTGTACCATTTAACATTCCCACCATCAAATGTATGAGACACGGTTTCTCTGCATCTTCACCAGCAACTGGTGTTATCACTGGTTTTTAATTTTAGCTGTTCTGGTGTGTCGTGATGCCTCCCCATGGTCTTCATTTGCATTTCCCTAATAGCTAGTGATGTTAGACATCTTTTCATGGGCTTCTTGGCCTTGTGCACATCCTCTTTGGTGAAATGTCTCTTCATGTCTTTTGCCCATTTTCTAATCACATTGTTTGGTTTTTAACTATTGAGTTTTGACAGTTTTTTAAAAAATAATTTTAGAGACGTGTCCCTTTTCAGATACAGAGGTTGCAGATCATTCCTCCTTGTCGATAACTTGTCTTTTCATTCTCTTAACAGAATATTTCACAGGGGAGAAGTTTTAGATTTTGATGAAGTTCAGTTGATCATTTTTTCTTCTCATGAATCATGCTTTTCATGGCCTGTCTAAGAATATGTCGCCAAGTCCTTGATCCCGAAGATTTCTCATGTTTTTTTATAAAAGTTTTATAGGTTTTGTGTTTAAATCTATGCACCATTTTGTATTCATTTCTGTATATGACATGAGATTTCGGTCAACGTTCTTCTTTATTGCATGTGGATATGTAGCTGTCCCAGCACCATTTGTTGAAAAGATTGGCCTTTCTCCGTTGAAATACTTTTGGAACTTTGTCAAAAACCATCTAGCCATACTTGTGTGGGAGCGATTTCCAAGTTTCCTATATGTTTCGTTGATCTATGTGTCTGTCCCTCTACCTGTACAACACAGTCTTGATTACTGAAGTTATGTAAGTCTTGACTCAAGTAGAGTGATTCCTTCCATTTTATCGTTCTTTTAAAAAAATTTTTTTTCTTTTTACCTATTTTAGTTCTTTTGCCTTTCCACACCAATTTTAGTATAAGCCTGTCTATATATACAAAATATCTTGCTGGAATTTTGATAGGAATTGTATTTAAGCCAATATATCAGTGTGAGAAGAATTGATATCTTTAGTATGTTGTCTTCCAATCCATGAACATGGTATGTCTCTCCTTCTATTTGGGGGGTCTTTGATTTCTTTCATAAATGTTCTATAGTTTTTAGCATACAAGCCCTGTACATGTTTGGTTAGATATGCACTTAAGTATTTATCTTTTTTTAATGATTGTAAATGGTATTATATTTTTAATTTGGTTTCCACATGTTCATTAATAGTATATAGAAATACAATTGATTTTTGTATGCTTATGTGGTATCTTGCAACCGTAACTAAACTTTCTAGAAAATTTTTTTTGTTTTTTGTTTTGTTTTGTTTTGTTTTGGAGATTTTATTCATTCATTTGACACAGAGAGAGAGCTCAGAGCACACAGCAGGGGGAGCAGCAGAGGGGGAGGGAGAAGGAGGGAGAAGCAGCTCCCCCCAAGCAGGGAGGCCAATGTGGGGTTTGATCCCAGGACCCTAGGATCATGATCTGAGCCACGGGCAAATGCTTAACCGACTGAGCCACCCAGGTCCTCCTTGAAAGTTTTTATAGATTTATTGGGATTTTACACATAAACAGTCATGCCATCTACAAATAAAAAGTTTATTTCTCCTTTCAGAAAAGGAGATCTTAAATACCCTTAATTTCCTTTTTCTTGCTTTAATGCACTGGCTAGAACGTCCAGTACTCTGTTGAATAACAGTGATCAAAGCAGTATAAATCTTTATAATTGCTTATTCCTAATTTTCTGAGAGTGTTTATCAGAAGCTCTCAAATTTAAAAATAACTTAGTGGACCTCCCCTTGAGGTTCTTATCCATGATGTGGTCTCCCTACAAGGAAGGACACAGAAATCTCTGTTCAGTGCACAAAGTGGGGGAAAAGAAGAATTGCAGATTCTTCTTTATCACAACAAGGGACAGGTTTTAGGTAGTTTTATTTCATGTCTGGCCAAAGTAGAAACAGAGATCTGTGTTTTGAACCTGACCGAGTATGATATTAGAAAACCGTAGGCTTTGGAGAGAGACAGATCTGGGACTGAATCTCATTAGGCCACTGGTTGGCTGTGTGACTCCAAGCAAATTACTTGATTTCTCTGAGCTCATTTTCCCTGTCTATAAGCCACTGATCTCACAGGGTTGTGGTCAGGAAGAAGTGAGAAATGCACATAAAATGGCACATGATTCTAAGTAAATGACACCAAGATCATTAATATGGGCTCATAAAATGGAGATTGAGAAGAATCCTTAAAGATGCGCAGGATTAAGATGAGGAGCCACTGATCTTAACAAGCTATATGGAAAAAGGAACTAATGAGGACAATTTTTATATAGACAGAAATTGAGTTGCATTCACTATATAAAAATAATTGACCACCTGCTGCTCCTCAGACTTAGTTTAAGAAGTAAGTCACCCCCGCCAGCCACAGTCACATTGATTTATGAAGCAGTCGGCTGTGTTTCCAGAAGCACAGCTCATCTTGGCTCCCTAGAGAACAGATGACACATGAATTGCCAAATGTTTTGTGAACAGACTTTCGATGGGCGCTTCTATCTTCTCTTAAACAAATCCTCTTCCCCAAGCTTAAATGGATTTGGGAGAGGAGATTTGTTGAAAAGGGGTTGTGGGGACACAGGTCCATTTTGAAAAATTGAAACCTGCGGACATGTCAACATTTTCTAGTTTTATAAAACAAGACAAGGTGAAAATTGCTTCTCTGCTGACTTCCTTGAGCCTTTCTGATGAGAAGAATCACCCTTGATTAGCTATGGGCCACCCTGAGGAATCATTCACCAATTTATAGTTTATGTTATTTGTACCACTAGAGGTCATTTCACTAAATAAAGTTCAGAAATACATATTAATAAAAGGTAATCTTCAAAATTACCCAGAGGTTACATCTAGCAAATAAAAAAGATTGTTTTATTTACCTGAGTAAATCCTAAAGAATAAACAGTCTTACTTCTAGAGATGTATACTCATTGGCAAGGCTGACATATTGTTCTGATTGTTGATGGCATCAAATTTTGACACCATTTACTTTTTCCGATAATGGAAGGTCATTACACACTTACTGTTTTTTTTTTTTTTAAGATTTTATTTATTTATTTGAGAGAGAGAGAATGAGAGATAGAGAGCACGAGAGGGAAGAGGGTCAGAGGGAGAAGCAGACTCCGGGCTGAGCAGGGAGCCCGATGTGGGACTCGATCCCGGGACTCCAGGATCATGACCTGAGCTGAAGGCAGTTGCTTAACCAACTGAGCCACCTAGGCGCCCACACTTACTGTTTTTAAAAAATGGGAGAAAGCACAGGGTAAGGAAGAAAATAAAAGTCACTTGTAATCATTTGGCTCAGGGAAAAATCAATATTGAACTTTGCAGGGTTTTGCCCAGCAGACTTCTTTCTCTATCCTGTAAGGAATTTGGTTCTCTCACAGCAAAAGGAGGCCTGTTTTCACCAGGCTAGCTTTTACGGTTGTTATCACTCATTCCTTCCACAAATATTTACCTGGAGCCTCAGCACTGAGGCAAGCCTGGGGATAAAGCAATGGTAGAATAAGTCATGGTCCCTACAGTCAGGAAGCTGCTAGGAGAGAGACACATAAGTAATAGGATCCCACAAAGACATGTATGGTTCTATTCACATTGGGGCTCTACAGGAAAGGAATATGGAGGATAAGGAAGATTTAACTAGACAAGGGGAAAGGGGAATGGCATGTGCAAAGGCACTGGGGTGGAAGAGAATATTATGAGCCCAAGGGACTGAGAGAAAACCCGTGTGTCCGGAAGAGTGGGAACGGAGAGAGCTTAAGAGATGAGTAAGCCTCCTTCAGCCACCATATCTGAAGAGTATGGGAAGAAACTGAGGAATTTTAAGCAAGGGGAGAGACGTGCATTTTGAAATGACCATCCTGGCTGCCACGTGCAGACTCGCAATCAGGAGCTCTGTTCAGGGGCGCCTGGGTGGCTCAGTTGGTTAAACATCTGCCTTTGGCTCAGGTCTTGATCCCAGGGGCCTGGGATCGAGCCCCGCATCCGGCTCCCTGCTCAGTGGGAAGCCTGCTTCTCCCTCTCCTCCCCATTTGTGTTCTCTATCGCTATCTCTTGTCTCTCTCTCAAATAAATAAATAAATATATTTTTTTAAGAGCTCTGTTCAGAATCTCCCCTCTCCCATTTTCCAGAGCTTGAAAGCCTCAGCCTTGCTCATTTAAGACATAAACCTTGTGAATTTTAATTTG